GAGTTTTCTTGCCGTTGCCGAACTTATGGGACACACTGTGTATATATATATATATATATATATATATATATATATATATATATATATATATATGCGTGCGTGTGTGTGTGTGTGTGTATAGCGTGTATTTAATAGAGCGTGCTCGACTTAGTAAAAAAATATTTTGAATTTTTAATAAAATGTTGGTCCCTTTATTTTAAATAGGTGGTACGAGTGGTCTGAAACATCCTGTACACACACACACACACACACACACACACACACACACACACAAGGTGTTTCAGACCACTCATACCATTTAAAATAAAGGGATCAACATTTTATTAAAAATTCAAAACATTTTTTTACTAAGTCGAGCACGCTCTATTAAATGGGGCTATATTCAAGTTCCAGTATTGACCGGAAGTTGGTTGTTTGGACCGGAAGTTTAGTTTCTTAAATGGAATATTCTATTTTTTTGCAGATTCAGATTCTATGGTGAAAAATACGAAACTTATGTTTGAAATATTTTTTCCGACAATGTGTCCACCGACCTTGAAATGGCATTGAAAGTTTATCAGCTACTAGACCTCTTAAGAACTTCTTAGCCGCAGTGCGAAAGTCGCCTTCGTATGATTTGACTTTTTAACATACTCCAAGTACTGAAATAAGTACTTCTACTTAAATATCTTACTTTCAATTCTTTGTGTATTCCAATTACTCTCAAAAATTTTTAAAAGTGGACTGACTAAGGTTGGAATCGAGACAATAAAATGAACTTTTCAATCAAACAATTTTATTATTTAACCTTTCATTATAGTCGGAATTTAGTAACAAACTTAACATTTATTTAATAACAAACTTAACATGTAAAAGAATTGATACTTACCTTTTACACAATGGAGTTTACATTGAACATTTAGCCTAGACAAGATTTACTAATTGAATAAAAATTATGTACATGTTAAGTTTGTTACTAAATAAATGTTAAGTTTGTTACTAAATTTTGACTGTAACGAAAAGTTAAATAATAAAATTATGTTTGATTGAAAAGTTCATTTTATTGTCCCGATTCCAACCTTAGTCAGCCCATTTTTAAAAATTTTTGAGTGTGATTGGAGTACATGAAGAATTGAAAGTAAGATATTTAAGTAGAAATACCTATTTCAGTACTTGGAGTATGTTAAAAAGTCAAATCATACGAAGGATCACCACTATCGCACTGCGGCTAGGAAGTTTTTAAGAGGTCTGGTAGCTGATAAATTTTCAATGTCATTTCAAGGTCGGTGGACACTTTTTTGGAAAAAATATTTCAAACATAAGTTTCGTATTTTTCACCATAGAATCTGAATCTGCAAAAAAAATAGGATATTCCATTTAAAAAACTAAACTTCCGGTCCTAAACTAAAATCTAAACAACCAACTTCCGGTCAATACTGGAAGTTGAATATAGCACCATTTAATAGAGCGTGTTCGACTTAGTAAAAAAAGTTTTGAATTTTTAATAAAATGTTGATTCCTTTATTTTAAATAGGTGGTACGAGCGGTCTAAATCACCCTGTATATACACAGGATGTCCCGCGTAAGACGTGCCAAAAGAAAAATATAAGTAGAATAGATAAAAGTGAAAAAATTGTAGAGGTCATTTTTCAAACAACCACGTAAAATTTCGAGATATTAATAAAAATAGTTGGACAAATTAGAGTGCGCGACGCGACAGGCGGGACATACGGCTCGCCGCGGCCGGTGAAGAAAATGGACGAGCGCACACATACACGTACGCACACACGGAGCTACCCATTTCCATATGCCAAACGGCCCACCTCTCTGGCCTATAAGATAGGCCCGCGAGCAATTCTCCATTTTTTTTCGTCGGCCGCGGCGAGCCGTATGTCCCGCCTGCCGTGTCGCCGCGCTCTGATATGTCCAACTATTTTAATTAATATCTCGAAATTTTACGTGGTTGTTTGAAAAATGATCTCTACAGTTTTTGTTCACTTTTATCTGTTCTACTATATTTTTCTTTTGGCACGTCTTACGCGGGACACCCTGTGTACACTTTAAACTAATTAATTTTTGTATTTATATCTCATAACAAACTTTAATAACGATTCGTTAAGAACTTTGCTAAAAAGTATCACAAATATGAAATAATATATTTACCTTGGATCCTGTTCTGTTCCTGATTGTCATCTGTTTCGAAATTTTCGCTGTAGTCAATAGCTACAATATATAAGACAAAACAGAAATCACTAAATATTGCATCAAGTACGATTCAAGTTATTTTTTTACAGAATGTTTTTTTTCATGCAAATGGTATATTGTTCAATCACATATACAAACGAGAAAGCTAGATAAAAACGTTTATCAACATTTTAAGAATTTTACCTTTTAGGGATATAAATTGCATTAAATAGAAAAAATATTAAGCTGAATAAATAAATTGAGAGATAAATAAAAATAAAAATGAATGTTGAAAGATAGATAAAGAAGAGAAGAGTGGAAAAAGAGACAAAGAGAGAGAGACACAGAGAGAGAAAGGGGGAGAGGGTGGGGGAAGGGGAGGGTAAAAGAGGGAGAAGGGAGAAAGCGGAAACGAAGAAAGAGCATGGTTATACGCGTAGGCGAACGACTTATCTTTATTACTTACAGGCTCCTTCAGTGTGAAAGCGTAATATTTCCGAGGGATGGCTCCATCCGTAACTATTTCTGGACAAAACGACAGCTTCGTAATATGTCGCCTCATTTAAACCAGTTAAATTGAAGGAGCAAGTGTGCACCGGGCTAATGATGTTAGTGCCACCAGGTACATGCAATTTATGCCATTTACCACCAGCACCTCCCTGTAACGTAAAAATAGATACATAATGTACGGCCGTAAACAGATCTTAAAAGAACACGGAATAGGTGTACCGAGAATAATGTGAATATTTGTCAAATGTTATAGCGTGAAGTTTAGATTTCTATTCTATTTCCCCTTTTCTTGTTTCTTTATCTATTGATTTATCTTTATTGTCGATACGAAGCTAATCAAGTAAAAACTATAAGCGTCATAATTACGTATGTTATAGAATGGTCGATTGTTATTCATATTTTTGAGACATTGTCTTCCGCTGAAATTGTATATTTGTCTTCGCATGCATAGCAAACATCAAAATCATTATTAACGCGAGTGACTCACGGATCCGTGAGATCGAATCTATTTTTCATTTCTGCGAAATGACTTATGGACTTATTTCACTTTAATTCTATTTTCTTTTTAAAAGTTCCCAAAACTGTATCTTTATCGATCTATACTTCGGATGTTTTTATAAAATCTCACCTTGTATTTGCGGTACCAAAATTGGTACTCGATAATGGGACTGTAGCTGTCAACCTCCCAAATGAAATTGTACGACGTATTCGATGTGCTGCGTGATTCTTTTTTGAAGATCGCTGGATTTGCGATTGCCGTTACCTCGACGGTCATTTCGGTAGTTCCTATGGAATTTGATGCCTTACAGAAATAGGAACCATAATCGGTCGTCTCCACATTTCTTATGATCAAACTGTGATCGTTTTCAGTATTAAGCTTTACTATCCGTGACGTGTCTTTCAGCGTCTCGTTTTTAAAGTACCATTCAACCTGAAAGGAGATAACATTTAATGAAAAGTAATGGTGAGATGAGTCCAAGTTTCAATTGTCTGTTACACTATTTTTGTCATTAATTTTCACTGCTACACTGTTACACTGCTTTCGTCAGTAATTTTTATTAATTTTTATTAATTTTCACTGCTACAGAAATATCAGTAACGTTAAATCACTAAGTCGATTGTCAAGCGCCGTAGGAACATAACTCTTTTTCTGTCGACTTGCTTGGTTTTTCGCGTGGAAATGAAAAAGAAAAAGACGCTAAGTCACGTTTGCCACGAATCGATTTGTCACATGCGACTGGTTTTAAAGGATCACGGTGAGAAATTGCTTGGCGGATAAAGAGGCGGTTTCATTTAGTTACCGAGCAGGTTTAAAGAATTCGTTGAAATAGAAATACGATTTCCCAACATTATCTAGAAGAAAACTTGTAAATATTTGTACTAGATGTCAAGAACAACTGATCAATCGCATTTTTCGCACGCGCACGTGTTCTGTTATATGAAAATTGAAATCTCTCGAGATCTCTCATATACTTAGTATTACAATATACGCCAACTTGCCCGACCATTTTTTTTTTCATTTTTCAAAGTATTTCGTATGGTTTAGAACTTAATGAGGGCTCGGATTATTTTATAAATTATGCAATTGGGATGAGTGACACGGATTAAGTGCCGCGGTCGCGACGCGACGCCGAGTACATATCGAAAAAAACAACGCGACCACCCTTACGGAAAAAAAACTATTGAGACTCAGTACTAAGTACTGAAGTTGTAATACTTAGTATTCAAGTTGTAATACTAAGTATTCAGAGTTAGTATTGGTCAATACTGAAATATTGAGTGAGTTAAGTATTAGTGAATACTGAGTATTGAGAGTTAGTATTGGTCAATACTGAAGTATTGAGTGAGTTAAGCATTGGTGAACATTGAGTATTGAGAGTTAGTATTCATTATATTAAACAATATTTATAAAATACATGTAAATATTTAAAAACATTTAAAAAAACATTTTGGAAATGTTAGAAATAATAGGATGAGTATTTTCCTAAATGTTAACATTTAATATTAAAAAAAATATTTTCTAAATATTAAAATAAACATCTATTAAATATTAGAAAATAAAATATTTTTTCAAACGTTAAAAAACGTTAAAAAACTTTTTTTTAATTAAAAAAAGAGAATTTATTCCATTATTTTTAACGTTTTAAAACTGTTTTTTTAAATGTTTTTTTAAATTGTAAAAATGTTTTTTAATGTCACTACTTAGGTAAGCAAATTTTATATAAATATTTTATGTATATTTCTGACTTCTTTTTTATTATTTGGACTAAATAGTTTATTTTTTTGGTTATACTAAATAATGTTATAAGAAAATTATAATTACTGCTTCGGCTGCATATGGGGATAATAAAAAACGCGTATTAGTTGAAGAAATAGCGTAGCAGCCAAAATGATAGACTAAGAACCTAGAGGTATCTGAGGTCTTGAGTTCGCGTCCGACTAGTACTAAATAAATTTTCAGGTATGAAAATAGTGAGAAATCAAATAAAAGAGCTACTTTTTATTTAAAATCAGTATTAATGTGCTGTGAGGGATAAGTATATCTTAACAATATTCCACGTATATACTTTTAGTATTCATCAATACTAAGTATTCCCCAAAAAAGTATTGGCCAATTTAGTATTAACCAATACTAAGTATTGTGCACTTAATATTATTTTTCAGTATTCATGAATACTTAGTATTTATTAATACTAAATATTGATCAATACTTAGTATTTATCGATACTAAGTATTACCCAAAAATATATTGACCAATTTAATATTAACCAATACTAAGTATTGCACGCTCAATAGTTTTTTTCCGTAAGGGCGTGTAAGCTTATCTAGAATTTCTGGGTCGATTTCTGGGTCTTCCGAGTTAAATATCTCAAGCACGAAAACTATAATCGAAAATCTGATGAAAGTTTCCTTATATAATGTTTAGCATGCGCGTAATTTGCACCAAGTTTGATTAATATTGGTGCAGGCAATACGAAGATCTAGAAATCTTGCCCGTTAAAATGTTCTTTTATTTTCGCGCAGATTCTCAGATTTTTTCAGATTCAGATTTACACGTACACACGCATACAAACGAGTGAGTTTGTCCTTCAAGCCGCATTTGCATCGCCAAACGATTCAGCTTCAGATCACACGTATACGCATGCACATAAGCGATGCGCGTTTGTCCGTCAGATTGCGTTTGTAATATATATAGACTGCAATAAGCAGCACATATCTATAATGATTGCCATCGATTCACGAATTTACGCTAAAGAAAAAGATTTATGATTGACCATTAGATATACATATCAAGCTGCATTTACAATTTCACGTACATTTTCTTATAGTTTTATATCAATCTGCGCTTGTGACGTTCGCGATCTGCATTGCAAACGTATAGTCTGAATTTGAAAATAATTGGCGAGACAAAAAGGATTTTTGTAGGTGAAATATTACAAAAATTCTCGTGTAGACTGCATCAATTAGAATGGACGCACATTACGTGCGCAATAAACATTAAATCGATCATGTATTTTTTCGTAAACTCGCAAATAAAATAAAACAATTTCATCGATAAATTCAATAAAATTCAATAATTACTATTGCGTTCCGATATTCACTGAAAATCTATAGTTTGTGTTATGTATACGTATAGAGTTTCAATACTGGCAGTGAATATTGGAACACAGTCTGCGAGTTCACATTAGAGGAAAAGATATATTACCACACGAAGAGAATTTTATAGTAAAATGTGTTATAAATTTAAAGATCCAGTCAAATCATATTCTATTACTTCAATTATCATAAAAGTTGGAAAAACCATCTAAAACAAGAATTAATAGAATACAATTTTACAAGTTGGAAAAATAGTGAAAATGTATGTACTTATTGTGGAGAAAACTTAATATAATTGAGAAAAACGAGATAATAATAACAAAAAATATTTTTATTTTAAAATTATAGTTATTTAAAACTGCTAGTAACAAAATGTTTAAAATCATAAATTTAAAAATTAAAGATATATCTACATTAAATATACATATAGGCACGTATAATCACACACACACACACACACATATATATATATATAATTTTTAGTGCAATTTTTCACAATAGTAAAAGTATAACTAATGGACATTATACAAAACGCTGTATAGTAAGCACACGAAATGGATTTCAATTAATGATTCCACAATAAAAAGATGCAGTTGGCCACGAAATTCCAAAGATGCATACATTTTCTTTGCTGAAAAAGTAATGTAATAAAATTTGTAAATAATCTACACAAAAAGCAATAAGATCGTAATAAACAGTCTTTACAAAAGAAAAAAACGCCGAATACGTATCAAAACAAAAACTACAAAACAAAAAGTACATGTTAACTTAATCAAAGTATAGATATTTTAAATTAATTATAATAAAAAAAGAAGTAAGATCAATATACCAAGTACGTATATGTACTTATTACACAAATAATTATGTGATAAGTATCAATAATATTAATAATTGAACGCTGAAATATCCAAGTATCAAATTGAGAAAATCTAATTAATAAATTCATAAATAAACTTATAAATATATTCCTATAGAAAAGTCATTTCTATATACGGCGACATACAGTTTTGAATTCATGAAACATTAATATAGATTTTCCTATAGTGAATATATATACATATATATATATATATATATATATATATATATATATATATATATATTTTTTTTTTTTTTAATGTACATAAAATTATTAGTAGCATTATAAACATTTATACTGAAAAATGATGTATTAATTGGGGCACGCCGAGTTTTTGATCCTCGATGTTAAGTTTTTAATACTTGGATATTTCAGCGTTCAATTATTAATATTATTAACACTTATTACATAATTATTTGTGTAATAAGTACTTATATATACGTATTTGGTTTATTATATTGATCTTATTTTTTTTTTATTATAATTATACAATATTTTATTGACCTCGTAAAGGAGAAACGAATCCACTACTTAATCTTGTAAAAATAAATCCCTTCGATTCATTTCGACTGGTCTGTTTTTTTTTAGGAAAGGATGGAGGAGAACAGAATATCCTCACCGAGACTTAAAGGGACTGGAGGGTCAGATTATCCGAAAATCGTACTTCTTTTTTCATAATTTTTTATGACAAACTGAATGAATATGAAAAAGTGTTATTTTCACATGTATTTATACAACATATAAAGAGAAGAAGAATATAATTTTGATAATCAAATACTCAATATAAATGTATGTTACATGCAAGGTTGGGAAGTAACGAGTTACTTGTAACGTCGTTACTGTTACAGTTACCTTTTTCCGGAACTATAACGGTAACGGCGTTACTTTTTCTGATCGGTAACTGTAACGGTAACGTAATTACATTTATCCAGTAACGGTAACGATTAATTCGTTACTCTAATAGTTATTGTTTTGTTTTAAATTTATTAAATTCGGTCTATATATAAACCAGTAGCAATAAGCAAAATGACCAATCATAGTCCATCCTCAATCTGGCAGATTGCAATCATAACTATAATTGGTCGCTTTGCTTTTGTCTTAAGCCTAGGGCCTTGTACACTGGATGTGATTAATGACGAACGATGAGCGATATCCGAGAGCTCATTTCTTCTTAAAGCAGAGTTCTGATTGGATATTGCTCATCGCTCGTTGCTAATCGCTAATGGTCTCACAGACCAGCGCGATGCACGACGCGACACGCGATATGCGACGAGCGATAATCAGATATATCTCAGATATACAGGGTGTCACTACCGCATTATCTCTTAAGGGCGGATTCTTGAAGTAATTTGAATAAGAAAATCCTAATACAAAAATGGCGAGGATATAATACTTTTCAAATTATAAACAATTAAAATTGACCAATTATACTGGCTAAAGTATGCGTGCTCGGGTACGGTACAACACACAGTGGT